TTAAATTTTTATTTTTTAAATGACAACTTTAAATTAGAATGAGTGTAAAGTTTAAACACTCAATAAAAACAAATGAGAAGGGAAGAGCTAAATAAGATGACCAGTCGCACTTAGGTCTTCGGTTTAGTGACGTCAAATCACATATAAGTGCATTTTCTCTCTTCATAACAATAATTTGAATTCAATCCTTTGTAAATTTATTAAAAAAAAAAAAAAAAGATGACCAATCCCTTCCTTATTTATCTAATTTTAACTGAATCGTATTGACCAAAACATCTTCGTTGATGTATAGTCCCTTATTTTTTTGTTTTGAACACAAAGGTAAAAAGTTCGAACTTTGAATCTACCAGAGAAAAGTAAACTGCACTTTCAAAATGATCCAAATACCACTTATTTCGAAGGACTAGGTGCAATGTATAGTCCTTATTTGATACCATATGTAAAAAATTTGTAATAAGATAAAAAGAAAAAATGGGAAAGTCATGTCGTTAGTACGTGGGATTTAGATATAATTGTCTCCTTGGGATCCAAATAAAGTTGAAACCAAATAAAGAAAATCAGCTTGACCCTTAGACAGGAATGACACGCACAAAAAGTTGTCTCGGAATAATGACAAAACCGTGACTGTCTGCATATATGTCTCGAACGAGAACAAAATATTTTCCTCCTGCTAATCCAGAACAAGGCCTAATGAAATAATGGAATTTCATATTGTTAAAAAATGTGGTGGAAAATAGTTCGTAATATTAAAACCCCACCTTTATCAATGATTTATAAAACAATTTTTTTCTCGCTTTTACCCTGTTAACCATTCACCCCGCGTTGAGCAAAAAAAAAAAAAAAGACCAACGAGAGAGGTTGGATCAAGTGGCAAGCGATTTGTTCTAGCTTAAGCAAGATCTCAAGTTCGAGACCTTGTGTACGTAGCAGATTTTGTTGGAAGACCCACCCACCATTCTAGTACATCACAGCTGGTCGAGTCCAAAATAATCGAGGTGAAACCCGGATAGCAGGCGGCAAACGAAAATAAAAAGAAGTAAAGGACGTGCCAATTAAAGTGCACAGCTCAGTCGACAGGATAGTACTCTTTCACCCAGTCAAAGAAGGCGACTTGAGTACAAACGGTGCTATAAACAGTGTTATAAAGATAAATTTTTTATATTATTTTTTAATATAATTTTTATATATTATTAAATAAATAAATATATTTAATATTATAAATTTTATATAAATTAAAAAAATTAATTATTTAAATAATATATTAAATTATTAAAAAAATAATATAAAAAATTTATTTCAAAATCATTTCTCATTGAGTATTGAGCCAGTTGGACTTGTCCAACTGGACACTGGACACAGCTGTAACCCCGCAACACCAAATGCACTCTGACCACACGTAACAGCTGGCAGCTGTACTGCATTTAGATTTTATTTACTTTTATACAGTGGTTTTTTCGCAGTACATAACTACACTCTTTGAGCCAGCGTTTAAATTTAGTTATTTTAGTTTAATTTTTTAAAATTTTAAATAAAAATTTATTATATTATATAAATAATAATTAAAATTTTTTATCAAATAAAATATTCAACAAAATTAAGTAAATTTTTTATTTATATATTATTATATTTTTATTTAAATTTTATAATTAAAAATTAAAAAATCAAATTAAAACTATTAAATTTAAACAAAGAAATATGAATTTTCTTTTTGCAAATATATATTATTTTTCTATACTAATGCATACCGTTTTTACACCGTAAATTTTATCTTTTAATCTTTTTTTTTTAATATAAAATTGTTTATGTATATTTATATATTATTATATTTTTATTTAAATTTTATAATTAAAAATTAAAAAATCAAATTAAAACTATTAAATTTAAACAAAGAAAGCAGTGGTGGAGCCAAAAACAAAAAACCTTTTATGGGGGCAAACAAAATTTTAACAAAAAAAATTAATAAAACGGAAAATTTTAATAAAAAAACTATTTTAAATTAAGATTTGTTAGTTTTTTAATGATGAATTAATATTAATTAATGGTATAGTATTATATATAAGACATTACTTGAAAGATAAGATAAATATATATTGAATAGAAGAATACTAATAAACAAAAAAACAAAAGTAAAGGGCTATTGATAAATAAAAAAAGGAGTATTAATTAACAACCATTTTATAAAAAATGATATTGAACAATTTTGTATTCAATTAATTTTTATTTTTTCTCACATTTTATTGTCCTTTACTTTCCTACTTTTTAATAATTACTAAAACTAATTTTTTAAAAAATAAAAGTTAAAAGTGATTAAAATGTATAAAATAAACAAGGATTGAAATAATAAAAATATAATTTAAATCTCTGCCCAGTGGGAGAGAGTATATTATTAAGATTGTGTAAAATGAACTTTCTTTTTTTCTAACAATTAAAATATCAAAAATATTAATGAGAAAAACTTAATATCCTTAATAAATCAATATAAAAAAAATTTATTAAAAATATTTAAATAATTTTATAAAAATAAAAATCTACTTACAT